TTACCCCTTTCTTGGTCGCAATGAGCTGTACAGAGGGATCCAAGTCTAGAATTTGCAGTCGTTTCATGTTGAATTGTCAAATGTAGTCCCTGAGTGTCTCATTGGGCTTCTGTACGATGTTGAATAGACATGTAGCTGATTTTGAATGCCGCTTGTTGGTGACAAACTGATTAATAAAGAGTCTAGCAAACTGTTCCCAGCTCTTTATAGACCCTAGGGCCAGCCCGGAATACCATAGCCATGCTTTACCCTTCAAAGTGGTGGGAAACGCAATGCACGTACTGGCGTCATTCGCCCCATATAGGAGCATAAGGGCCTGAAAGCTATTTGCATGTTCTACAGGGTCTGTTTTTCCTCGATAGGATTCAAGGGTGGGGGCCCGGAAGTTCTTGGGCCATGGTGCTTCGAGGATTTCAGGCGCCAGGGGGGTCCCACAGGTCAAGCTATGCTGTTCTGGGAGGGAGACCAATTTATCGATTGCAATGCTGCATTCTCTAGGTGGTATCATACTTTTGGCCCAGGAGAGCTATACTTTCTTTCTCGCTCTGTGTCCATTTTTCTTCTTGGTATACTCGGCAAAACTAGTTGCATTGGACCCGGTCGGTGCATCTGCTTGACTCTCTGTTGGGACTTGTTCATTTCGAACCACTGCTTCTTCTTTGTCTGGGACCTGAATTTGGCTTCGCACTAGCTGAGGGGGTGGGTTTTCATGATTGGAGTTATGACAAGGAGGTTGCTGGTTGTTGCAAGGTTGACTTCCTCGCGGTATTTGCTAATTGTCCTGCTGAACCGGTTGATCTGGTACCGCGGGGTGCGGTTGTCGATACTGCTGGTGTTGGTGTTGTTGTTGCTGCAACTGAAGAGGTTGTTGTTGTTGCCGAAAAATGAATACAAATATGTTTTCCTACGTTCGCATTTGCTCTGTCATGTTGTGTACGCATCATACCAAATCATTAAAATGTTGTACGTCCACAGCTGCGGGAGGTGCCACTGGAGGTGGGGGTGGCATGTTTACATTGTTCTAAGCATCGGCCGGTGGTAAAGGAACATCGATTTGGCCTATTGTGATCGTTGGCATTTGGCCATTGACGTTGTTGGCAGATGGGTTGCCAGAAGATGCCATTGAAAGGTTTCTTCGAGGAAAATGAGAGAGATAAAGAGATGAATGAAAGGGAACATAGGCTTTTTGTTGTGATTCCCACAGACGACGCCAATTGATGAAGAACAAAATATGCCCACCAATAGATAAAACACAGAATCTATTCACTCCCTTGTGTCTGATGAGGTGGCTCGGACTGGGTTCAATTTGCTGTAAGTCGAGCTGTTTTACCAAGCTATGAAGCCGAGCTGAGGGTCCGAGTTGAGAGTTGCTGAAATGAAAGAGAGGTTAGAGTGTCTGGGTAAATTTTACCCAAGAGGGCACTCCGATGCTTAAGTTAGTGAGTAGTTCTCTTAGAGAAATTAAGAGAGAGTGAGAGCTTATGTGTGCATACCTCTCAGAGTGTCCCTAGGTTCTTTTTATAGTTACTAGGTGTTCAGGTGTCGTTGATCAACATCTTTGAGTTTTCTGCGGAGCTGTTTCTGCAGTTTGAGGGAGTGTTGGGCCGTTAGTTGCTAAATTCGTGCAGCTGTTACAGGTCGCCTACGGATTTTGTGGTGCACGGTTCGGCAAGCTGTCCCAGTAGTTTCGGTAACGGTGCTAAACCGGATATGGTGCGCGAGACGGTTTCGAGCGAGCTGTCGTTGTCGGTGGGCCGAGCTCGCTTCAGCTCGGCCACGCGCCTTTTATAAATTGCAACGTATTAAATTGGCAAGCTGTCTTGCTGGGTTGGACGCTGCGTTTCTAACAACGTCCATGTGTCCTCCATCTAGTGGGTTAACCAAAATGTCCCTCATCAAGCGACGTTTGCCAAATATCGCTAAAAAAATTTAAATGTCATTATTGTATAAAGTATGTGACTTTTGTAAAAAGATTGTGACATTTGCTAAATGTCACGATATCTAACATAATCGTTGCAAAAGCTTTTAACGACATTCGCAATCGTGACGATGATATAAACATCACAAAAACCTTTTGGCAATGTTTCCTTAGCTTTTAGTGACATTTATGAAATGTCACGAAAAACCTTTTTTTTTTGTAGTGGTAGCTATAGGACCCTACCTCATAGATGGAGGAGCTTACAAACAGATCCCTCTGAATGGATGATTCTTGAAATTGATAACCTATTATTACAGGACAATAATCGTTAGGCAGATGACCTATGAGATTGAAGAGTTGGGTTCCTTGAAAGGAACCATGGTATTAGGATTTGATAAGTTTAGGCAATCTTCAATATGATTATCAATATAAGGAGCTGGCACACGAGCAAATAAGCATGACTAGTCATCCTTGGTATTACTAATCTCATAAGCTATTGAGTGGTGGGCATGGATATGATGACGAACAGTTCTAGTCAGCATTATCCATTAGCACTATCTGAATTCTAAAAATTAGAAGATAATTTTTCGGTCTTGGTGATCTTGCAGACTACAAATTGATTGAACCATTTCAGATAAAAAACACAGAATCAAAATAAGGTGCACGTAAGGAAAATTTGAAGGAATGAACAATAGAAACAAGAAGAAAAAGAAAACAAGGAAACAAATAACTGACTTGTCCAGTACGATTGGGAAGTGAGTGTTCGTGCATAATCCAATCTATCTTCAAAGCATTTTTGCAGCATCGATTACCATTTTTTGCATACTGATTATACACCAAGCTTTGGGTGACACCCACTACCTTTCCCCTATGATTCTTAACATCAGAGTCTCCGGAACTAGCCTTCTAAAATTCATCGCTGGCTCGACGATCAGGTCTCTATTCATTTACCGACTTCCTTTTAAGGGGACAAAGAAGTAAAGAGCTTCATTACTTTTCTTGACTTCTTTGTCTTTGGTCCCGGCCACCATCAGTCTATCAGCACCAAGAAGATTCCATGGCTCCACACTGTAAGCATCGTAATCATCAATGAGGCCAGGAACAATTCTTCCACCATAAACCTTCTTCCTCAGATAATAGACGATGAGCTCCTGTATCGTCGGTAGAAATCTAAAGCTTGTCAGAATACGACGTCCACCTAAACAATTCATCTTCTTCATTCCGTTTGAGCTCCCGCTCCTTACTCTTATCTTCTTATAGCATTTGAGTTTATAATTACAGTTACGTTGTTACCAAAATAGATGTTAGTCCAGATCTCCTCCTTACACGGACCTCTTCACAGCATGTCCCAGCCATACATCAGGGACATCTTCCGTACATGTAAATTATTATTTAGGGGAGATGTTTTCAATACATGGTGGGATGTGTCCTATGAGCTCGGTGTGAGGAACGCCCAATGAGAATTCTAATTACACCACACTTCCAAGTTCTAATTGATTTCCAGTTTATGAGTAAAGTGTCGTCAGTTCATCTAAGTTTCAACTAAGGAATGACACGGCTAGTAGGACTCTCCAAACCGTGATGTGGTCTTTGTTTTGGTCCAAGTTTTCTTAATATCCAAAATTTTAGGGTCTCTTTGGTCCGCGGATAGGATTGAAGTCGAGATCAGAATCACTTGTTCCTAACACCTATTTGGCTCAATTAGAAAGTGGAATCGAATTCCAGTTGTTATCATTTGGTTGGTTCAATCGGAGTTGGAATCAAATCAACTAAAAACTTTCAATTTGTATTAATATATGTATTATTTTACTATTACTTTATTAATATGTTATGAATATATAATTATTATTTTATTATTATTTCATATTAGTTATTAATATTTTATTATTTTTATTTGTTATTTTAAAATTAATTTATTATATTTAATAATTGATATGTTAGCATTTTATTAATACCTTAATTATATTACATTAATATTTTATTTGTACTTGATTATTATTATTATTATTATTATTATTATTATTATTATTATTATTATTATTATTATTATTATTATCAAAAATTTCATTGGGCTACACTTTGGCTTCAATTTTATCTAAAAATAGTTAAAAAAACCCAAAAATAATGCATGCATGGATTACACGACAACCTTAAAACTGATAATACACTATCAAAATTTTCATTGGGCTACACTTTGGCTTCAATTTTATCTAAAAAAACCAGAAATAATGCATGCATAAATTACACTCAGTTTGTTTCAATTCAATTATGAATGTTACAATGTGTGCAACTTGTGTGGGTTGGGTTAGGATGAGGATAAATCCAAACCTAATCCAAAGTCTTAAACCTTATGTTTGGGCTTAGATTAATTTAATTATGACTACAAAAGTTAACTATAGATTAATTTAATTATGATTATAGCCTAATTTCATATATTAATGATCTTTAAGTATTTTAAATATTTAAGTGATATTTACAAAAATTGAAACATTTGTCATTAATAAAGTAAAATAAATAAAATAGAACACTAATAAATAATATGGAAAAAATAATTGTTTTATTAAGTACTAGCAATAATTTATTATTTTATTAAAAAATAGTAATATAATTAATCCAAATTACTAAATTAGTAAAACATTTTTGTAATAAATTATTAAAATAAAGATTTAATTATTTTAAGCAGCATTACATTATTTCCTTAGTTATAAGTTTTGGTTATTTCACTTTCGTTGATAAATTCTATGCATCACAGGGGTCCCTATAGTGTGTATATATAATATTTATATATGAAATGTACTATAGAGTTGAGTTTGAATTGGGTCGAGTTGCCTAAATAATCAACCTTAATCCAATCTGAAATAAAGTCGGATTCATAAATTCCAACCCTAACCCGAGCATCAAACCGACTCTCGGTTAGGGTTGGATTCAGGCCAACCCGGCCTGCCTAATAAACGATGCATACAAAACGGTTGCTCCGCAATCTGTACCCGGACCGTTGGCACCTCACCATCCTAGTCGCGGAAATTGAACGAGAACGAAACTAACCCTAGGTCCTATCCCGGCCCAACTCCAGCTATAAAAGAGAACATTTCTAGGGTTTTGGGGTCTCTACTGCGATTGAGTGAAGGAAAGACGACCGAAGAGCGACGGAAGTGGTGTTTCCGCTTGTCGCCCATCTCTCACCTTCGCAACCATGGTAATGGCTCCATCTAATTTTTCTTCCAATGCCGCTTTGTCAATTACTTCAAAACCAATCCCGTTTGTTCATTCTCTCGTCTTTACTTTTGCAGATTATTCCAGAGAAGAACCGCAGAGAGATCTCTAAGTACCTCTTCCAAGGTCTCTCCTTTAGTTATGTAGGTATTTTTTTCATGTCTGTTACTACTCTTATTTACTGACGTTTGATTTCTCTTTTCGATTTATGGTGAATCTGCAGAGGGCGTTTGCTATGCAAAGAAAGACTTTAACCTTGCGAAGCACCCGGAAATCGATGTGCCGAATCTGCAGGTAATCAAGTTGATGCAGAGCTTCAAATCAAAGGAGTACGTGCGTGAGACCTTTGCTTGGATGCACTACTACTGGTATCTCACCAACGATGGGATTGAATTCCTCCGAACCTACCTCAACCTACCTTCGGAGATTGTCCCCGCCACATTGAAGAAATCTGTTAAGCCCGCCGGTAGGCCCATGGGACCTCCCGGAGATCGCCCACGGTAATTGATTTTTCTCAAATTCATATCTGGTTTGATTGTCATTTGTCAATTCATTTTACTATTAGCCTTTCTAGTAATTGATCGTGACTAGTTTTTGGTATTGATTGTAGTGGTCCACCTCGTTTTGATGGAGACCGACCTAGATTTGGCGACCGTGATGGATACCGTGGAGGTCCCCGAGGACCTCCTGGTGAGTTCGGTGACAAGGGAGGAGCACCACCTGAATACCAGCCTTCATTTAGGGTAAATTGGCTTCTTATTTACTCGTTCTTCTTGGATTTATTTCCTCTTTATCTGATTTTGTTGTAGTGAGTGAATTTTATTGGCTCATTGGGTCCTTCTTTGCTAGTGGTATTGAGAGGCCCTCATGAGTTATCATATATGTGGCCGCTATGATGGAATTAAATCGCATCATGTTATAAATTATTCAATATCAATCGCTATTATAAATAATATTGAATGTTTCTCTTCCGTAGTCTGTTAACAACAACAATAATAATAATAACAGTAAAAATAATATTTATATTGACTTGCATCACTCCTTGTGTTGTTGTAAATGTTATTTTCCATAACCTCAAACTTAGCTCTGGAAAGATAGCTACAAGTTCTGAGAGGTGACGTTGTTTACCTATCTGTGGTCTTTATCCTTTTGTAAAATTGTGCCCTTACGTGTATTTTATGCAAAATTCTTAATTTGTCAAGTAGTTTACCCATTCAAAACTTGCTCCAAGAAGATGATCCAAGGCAGACGCATACTCGTACATTAATTTTCATATGCATTATTCAAGGCTTACACATGCCTGCTTAGAAGTTTGGGAGGTGAATTAGACCAATCAAGCACCAACTGTAGGGCAAATGTGTAATCTCAAGATTGGTGCCCCTTACTTTGAGATGCTTTTTTTTTCTTGCTGAAAATTTTCAAGTATAAAAAGCATTCAGAGGCTAGAGCTGAAAATTTTCATGTATAAAAAGCATTAAGTGGCCAGTGGTCTATATATGTGATTGTGATATCATAGGCAGGGTTTCTGTGGATTTAACAATCAACTAGCCTTTCATAACTAACTTAAAATGGAAACTGTTGAAGCAGGTTTTGCATTGTGCATTTAGATTTGGGTTGGGATGGAGTGCTTAGTGTTTGGTCAAGCTTGTCTTTGGGGTTACAACTATGACTTACACTTTTTTCAGACTTTTGAGCCTATATTCTTGGCAGATATATGGTGTCTATTAACAGACATTACTATTTGAACAAGCATGTTATCCACTTTGTTCTCTTAATAGAGAAGTAGCGGTTAAAAGGTTTTCTCCAAGTAGCGAATCTTCTCTTCTGAATCTGAATCATGAACTATCTAATCGTTCTAACATCTCTAGTTTTTATTCTTGAAACATCATGTTTCCTCTTTTATTATTTATATATGCTTTTGTGGTGCAATGATGATATTGTAATTCCCAGCTCATTATGAGACCTTTATTTGGAGGTCCGGGAAAAGATTCCATAACATTTCTCTGAGCACAACTATCTATCTCTTATGCGTTTCATATGTCTTATTTACTTTTATAGTTTTAAATTTGAAACCTATTTTTATGGTCTTATTATATTTTATTGAGATTGTTCCCAATGATGGTAACTTTGACCATGCTAATACTGATTATAGTTGATGATTGGATATCCATTTTAATATGCTGAGGGAACCATATATTCTTTTTCTTTGAAAATGAATATCAACAACTGCAACTTTTCTTATATTTATCAAAAAAAAAACAACTGCAACTTTTTCTTCTTTTATACATATATTTTCTTCTATCAATGTTACTAATTTATTATGATGTTCACTTTGACCATCCAGCCATGCATGTTAAGTTTCTCTTTACCAAAACTTGTTTAGTTTCTAAGTATCTTCTCTTGATTTTATGTTGTTCAGTTATCAGTTTTTCATGCTTTGTCAAAAAACTTCCCTGCTTTGCTCTCTCATTTTTCTAATTATTAGTTTACTCTCTCCAAACATCTGGTCGAAATGGATGCTAATATTCGTGAATTGCATTGTTGACTCTTTGGTTAGAGTGCAATATAGAGCTGGCTAATATTCCTCCAAACATTTGGTTTCTGGAATTGCATTGTGAATTATATTTTTCCTTCCGTTTGATTCATTAGCACTCTTATAAGGTGTGTTAATTATGAGCTTTTTGCAGGGTCCCGGTGCAAGACCTGGCTTTGGCCGTGGTGGCGGTAGTTATGGTGCAGCAGCAGGGGCTACTAGCTCTAATCTTCCATAGATGATACCTTCAGTCTTGCAAATCATCTAGTTTTTTGACGGTTTAGTGGATGTAGAATCTAAGAGCGCCTGCTATTTCTTGAATTTGTTGCAGTTTCATAGCGTTAGTTTAGAGTTTTGAGTTTGTCATGGGATCTAATTGTGTCGATTTATTTTTAATGAAAAGAGGAACATAGAATCTCTCTTTGAATTTCCTATTTAAATGATGGTTTCGTTGTGCTTTGTTAAACTATTAAGCGTTATAGTGCATTATGGCTTGTTAATTTATTTTTTGAAAAGTCGACCTTTTGCTTTGATCTCCTCGACTCTCGATTACAGTCGTGACAGTCCGTCGAGATTTCGGTTATTGAGTTAAAAGATTTGCAATGTTTTAATATTCTGGATTCAATTTTAATTTAGCTTAAGGCGCTTTCAAAAATGTTGAATGATTCAACAAATTTCATCCTATTGCTTGTTTTATTCTGATCAAAGAAGCAATTTAGTATTTTTTGATGTTTGTTCAACCGAACGCAAATTTAGTGAAATTCGTATTTGCAACCCATTTTAAATTGTGTTGTTTACAACGGATCACAGATTACCTACATTTTTTGTAAGCTGATCTGCAAATAAACCAGAAGCTTACTAGCGGAGGGGTCCTGCTTCGTAGGGGCTGGAATGGAACCATTGACTCCCTGGCCAAAAACCGTTGATCAACGATTCATTGACCTAAGTGGTTGAATCGTTGACCTGTTCAATGGATTTTGGCCTTTTTTTTATTTTTTAATTGAGAACCATCTAGGAAAGTGGTTCTGTTTTATCCTAATTTCGGTCCTTGGTTAAAAAGCGTTTAATAGATCAATGACTCATTGAACCAGGTGGTTGAATCATTTATTTGTTCAATGAATTTTTGTTATTTTTTCTTATTTTTTTTTATTTTTGTTGTTAAAATGGACCATCTGTTCGAATCGTCTACCCAAAAATTGGTGGCTAGAACGGTTTCGTTTTCAGATGGTATGAATCACACGTTCGAATGATATAACACGTATGGTATTGTTTAATGGACCTCACACAATTTTTTGCATGTAATTTCTTGTCAGAACGGGTCGTCTATTTTTTTATTTCTTTAATTGGGAATCGTCCAGGCAACTAGTTCCGTTTTACCCCAATCCCAGTCCTTGGTCAAAAACTGTTGAATCGGTCAACGACCCATTGACCCGAGTGATTGAATCATTAACCCATTTAACCTGTTCAATGGTTTTTGGCCGTTTTTTATTTTTTTTTAATTTTTGTTATCAGAACGAGTCACCTGTTGAACCGGATAGTTAAACTATCAATCCAAAAATCGGTGGCCAAAATGGTTCCATTTTTGAGTTGTATGAGTCACATGCTTGAATGACATAACACGTATGATACTGCTTAATGGACCTCACACTCAATTTTTTGCCTGTAATTTTTATTGTCAGAATGGGTCGTCCATTCGAACCGGACAATCGAACCATCGACCCAAAAACCGGTGGCCAGAACGGTTCCATAATTTTTTGCTTGTAATTTTTTGTTGTCAAAACAAGCCGTCCATTCAAACCGAACGGTCAAACCGTCGACCCAAAAACCAATGCCCATAATGGTTTTGTTTTTGGGTCGTATGAATCACACGCTCGAATGACATAATGCGTATGATACTACTTAATGGACCTCACAAACTCAATTTCTTGCCTATAATTTTTGTTCTCAGAATGGACCGTCCGTTCGAACCGTCGACCCGAAAATCGGTGGTCAGAATAGTTCCGTAATTTTTTGCTTGTAATTTTTGTTGTCAAAACGAGCCATCTATTCGAACCGGATGGTCAAACCGTCGATTATCAGAACGTTATTAACAACATTTATCAATAATAGTAAGTAATTATACTATTTAATTAAATAATCATTAATGATAGTTTTAATAATATTATTTAGTTATTTTTAATATAACAGTAAATATTAAATTTATGAATAGGATTTATTAACAATATTCATTAAACTAATAATTATCGAAATTAAATTAAATTAATAATATTTATCAGTAAAAGTCAGTAATTATAATATTTTATTAAATAATCGATAACAATACTTTTAATAATATTTTTAATATAACAATAATTACTAAATTTATTAACAGTATTTATTAATAACAATATTTATAATTTTAATTTAAAGTAAATATCTATTTATTAACAATATTTATAATAACAGTAATTATTAATTATAACCACTAATTATATATTTATTAAATTACTGTAATAATCAGTAATTATTGTTATTTTTATGACAATAATTACTGAATTGCTCTCACGTGTGAATCTACTCGCACGAGTAGATTCCATTTCCTGCACGGAGAGAACAGTTGTTATTTTTATGGCAATAATTACGGAATTCTAAGAGGTTCTTCACTTTCAGTTGTTACCCTTCTTCGAGATCTAACTTCTAACATTGTCTTCCTAATTTATTGATGTTGCCAATCTCTGATCCTTCTTCCTAATTTAAGCCTCTAACAGAAAAAAGGGTATAATTACTTGTATATACATGAGATCTAAGAAAACTATTTGTATATATCCTAAACTTTCAAAAACTGCCTACACATATATAGTTCCAAGTTTACCCTTCCATTTTGAGGACATTGTTGATCTTCTTCAAACTTCCCAATCTCAACTGAAACCCTAGAAAACCGATCTCTTCCAATCTTCTATGGTATTTTCCAAGCACATTTGAGAATGGAGGGGTAATGGTGTGAAATATGGATTAGATCAAAAGGATGGAAGGTTCAAAACAGTGTGAAGTGTGAACTATGCATCTATGGGAATGTGTTAGTTGATATAACAAAGAAGGCAAATGTCGTTTTGCAGAGAGTGAAAAAACCTATGGATTCACACTGATTGGCTATGATGCCAAATGGACGGAAGAAGGGGTGCTTTGAATTATATTTCAAAGTGAGGAAATAGATTCATTGGTCGAATATGATGCTAAATGGGCAGAAGGGGTGCTTTGGATTATGTTTTAATGTGAGGAATGATTCACTGGTTCGACTATGATACTAAATGGGCAGGAAGGGGTGCCCTAAAAATACGCCTCTGGCTCATCAAAGATCAAATTCTCTTAAAGATTAAGATGGACACTGATATAGTGACCTCGTTGACATCCTTTAAGGACTGTAGCTTCCATCGCACTTCCATCTGATACTACTGCATAGTTCCTAGAACCAAACCTTTTGATCACATCAACAACCGAGTAAATATGTAGGAGAGCTTTTGATCACATCACATCGCCTCTACTATGGGCCTATGGCTGCAACAATGGAGTTACCGAAGTCGCAAATTGCTCAAGATGGACAATGATGCATACGATATAGCAGATTCCTTTGTCGATCTTAAAGGCACGTATTTATATTTACTAGAAAAAGCAAATTAACGAAAGGTAATTATTTTTTAGTAAACTGTTGAAACCTCCCCCTTAGAGTTTTTGAGTTTTTGACAGTTGCTGAAATCTTCCTTCAAGTTTAATAATTTTAATTACCTCCTCTCCTCTGATCTTTTTAATATACTCTGCTAGAATCTTTAAAAAAAAAGGCATGAAAATGTCTAAAGTACCTATGCAATTACTATTTAAGTTGATTTTTACAAGAAAAAACAATACAAAATTTATGAACAATAAAAACAAAGAGAATTTAAAATTGCAGATTTATTTTGAGTGGTTGATATGAAGGATAAATTTGAAAAATAAATCAATTTCAGAAAAGAGATTGTAATTTTTTTATAGTGATTCAAATGAAGAGAAAATTTAGAAAATAAGCATTTTTGTTAAAAATAATTACATGGGTATTCTGAACATTTTCAAGCCTTTTTTAGAAAATTATATTAGAGGGGTTCTACTTGCAAGTGTCAACTTCAGGGGAAGTTTTAGCAATAACCAGAAACTTCAGGGGATGTTTCAGCAATTTGAACTTGAATCGACTTTATCTGTTATCAAACTCGATTGCATTCAGGTATTTTATACAACTAGCGGGGACCCATGCAATGCACAGGAAATCTGAAAATTTTAATAATTTTATTTACTATTAATTAATATTAAATTAATAATCAAAATTTGTTGCCAAATAACTAAAAGTATTCAAAGTTATTGTTAATATTTAAAATTTTAATAATTGTATTTTTCATTTAATGTTGATTTACAGAAATTCCCTAATGTCGGGCGAGTTTAGGGGCAAGGCACCCCACTCCTCATCAAGGATGGGGAATCCTCAAATTTCCCCGCCCCGTCCCCAATATTGGGTGAGTTCAAGAAAAGGTGTAAATCGGGTCGTGCTGGGCCGGCACAACACAACCCACATGTGGCCCACACTAAGTGTGGGTTATGTCGTGCTGGCCCATGGCACATCCTGGGTCGTGCCTCCCTCCCTTCGGATAATTTTGGGGGTCGGTTCGGCACGGCCCACGGCCTGAGTCCGCACGGGCCCGTGCCATGCCGTGGGCCAAGTTGGTCCATGGGTCTAGCATTGGGTCAGGCCAGGCCACGGATCGGGCCAAGCTATAAGAGGTCCATTTAAGAAAAAATTGAAAAGGATGTGTAAATTTTTATTTCATATGATTTTTTATATATACAATTAGACCTATTCATGGGCCAAGTAGCCTAACGGCCCGGCCCGGCCTGACCCGTTATTTTTCAAGCTTGGACAAAATTTCAGGTCCATGGGCTTGAGCTTGAGCTTTTTCAAATAAGCCCAGCCCGAGCTTCATGCTTTATATAAGGCATTTTGTGTACAGATCGGGCTTTGGGCTCGAGCTTCATGCTTTATATAAGGGTTGGGCTTGGGCTCAAGATCTAGGCCCGATGGTCGAATCGGGTTCGGGCTCGAGTTTGCATATTTTCTGTTGATAAAGAGGCCCTTGTTAATTATAAAACTATGATTTTTTACAAATTAAAATTATTATTTAATTCTACTCTAGTATAACAATATATATAACATTTCTATATATTAATATAAAATTTGTTATTTAAATATTATATAATAATATTTACCATATATGCATATAACTTCAAAGTTGAGCTATTTAGGGGTTATTTAACTTGAGCTCTATCTGCTAAAGTCATCATTGGACTCCAAAAGTTTGATACCAAATTAGACTTCGAATCTGATTATCCTTGATAATGTGTGGGTATGGTGCATATCTCAACTAGACCTAAGTCAAAAGAAAATAGTTTCTTGAGCCTGCAAATTTATAGATCTAATAGTTGCCTAAGTTATAAACAATTTATTA